TAATAAATAATGGGAAATAAATTGATTTATTATAATAAACCGTTCGATAATATATATATATATAAACACGTTTAATATATAGTAAACAAATTTTTTAATATAAAAATATGTATATTTTAATTAAATTTAATAATAATACTTCATATCCTAAACCTCTATACTGAATGGTTGTAACATGATACGGAATTATTAATTTATAAAAATAATATCAAGTGAAAATTAAGATAGAATAAATATAGAATATTAATTTTTATAAAGTGAAGTTGGAGTGTGATTTTGACACTTATTAATTTAACGATAATATTGATTTTTAATGATAGCTTATGCGAAACGAATTTATTAATTCAACAAAGTTTCCCCTCACTTATATGTATAAGAATAACATCAGATTGAAAAATAACGTTTGAATTAATTTAATTTTTATTAATATATTTATTTTGTATATAATAATTTTTTTATTTACGTTATAATAAGACGATAAGTAATACAAGTTGAAATTATTAATGAATTAACAATATTGATAAATTAATTAAAAGCCTAGTAAATTGTATTTCTGTTAGGTAAAGAGGTTTTTAAAAACGTATTTTTTTATATAATAATATTATCAGCATCAACTCCTGTCTAATATCCTTTCGAGAGTTTAGACAAAGAAAAAAAACAAATGAATTACACAAGATTAATCTCCAATTTGCAATTCTTCTCTAGATTTTTTATTTTATTTTATGCCATATTAGCTATAATATATACTGTCTTACCTTTAAACAGCGATCATTTTTAACAAAATAACCTCTAAATAATAGCCAGCAACGACCATTTTTATGTTTCTGTTCTTTGTTTACATGTTTGATTGTTTATTAATGTTGAAATAACACCATAAACTTTAGAAACGCCTTTAATATATTATCGAATCATTAAAGGATTAAACAATAATACTAAACTAGTTAAAAGCTTAATTAACTATATAATATTATTATAATAATTTCATAGACTTATTCTCATATTCACAATATTTTGATGAATTATCTAGCAACACGTCAGACATCAAAATGAATCAATCTCTCTTAGAATCAGTCATTCAGCTAATCGGATTTATTTATAGCCTTATAACTAAACTCAATTTTTTTTTCTTGTCATTAAAGAGTATAGGTTCCTTCAATCATATCTATAAATAGAGAATCATCCCAGTCATTGATACTGGAAACTTCTATCGTATCTTAGTAAATACGTTTATAAACGTAGAGAAATTAAGATTAAATCGGTAGATTTAAGCTAAAAAAATAAAATTTTATTAAAATAATTTTGTATTTATTTACTATATTCAACAATAAACAGTTTCAATTTTTATTAAAAAATTCCTTTTTTATGTCCTTTTATTTATATTAAACTTTTGTTTATAATTTATTTTCTNTAGTCAGATAAACTATCTCTGCGACCAAAACATAGAAGTTTATACTCTACTAATAACTTTCGTGCTTTTGGTGGAATATAACGGTACTCAGTTTCCTCTTATAATCATAATTCTCGTTAACTCTAACGTTTGAACGTGCATTACTTATACCATTATTAAAATGTCCAGATGATAAATTAATCTTTATAATTGGCATATTTCTTTTTAAGAAAAATGAACTTTTATAGTTTTTCAACAAAACACGTTATTATAAATAATCACTTGTTAATAAATTATTAAATTAATATAAGAATTACGAGCCAGTCTTCATACACTGACTAATTTCACATCCATGACTTTAATCATTCTCATTTGTGGTAAAATATCTTTATCATCTAAACTATCATCTAAATTTTACATCAAAATGTAATAAATTTTAAAGATTTGTTCTCACAATCTCAATAATTGAATTCGCTGATTGAAACAACAAAATTTAAATTTAAATTGTTTATTTAAATTATGTTGTTTCTATCATCATTATCGCGTGATTAAATTTACAAAATACGAAAGTTTATAGTTTATACAACAAGATAATTAGAAATTATATAAATTTATAAATCTATTGTTTAAACATAATGTTAATGAAATTTGTTATATTTATTGTTACAAATTTTTTTTCCTCCCTCTTCTTATAATCTTTCCTTTGTTTTCCTCACGTTATTAGTGATAATGATAATTCTTTTTCCTTTAGTTACGATCTTTTTTATAAAATATCCTCTTCTT